GAATGCATAGCTAGATTCCTATTGGCTATTTCACTTTGCAATAGCCTATAGCAAACTAGCTATTGCACCCGCCCCCTGCTGCTTTCAATCACCAGAAGAGGACCTGATAGAAAAATTCAGGTCCCCCTCTGCTGATTGACAGCAGCAGTGGGCGGGTGCATTAGCTAATTTTCTATTGGCTATTGCAAAGTGCAATAGCCAATAGTAATCTAGCTATGCATTCTTATGCCTTTTTTTTCTTTTCTGACTGACGGTCAGGCCACGGCTCCCTATGTCAGAAAAGAAAAAAAAAAACGATCCCAGGGAAAGGTTTAATCTGCTTGATTGAGCAGATTAAACCTTTCCGGTAAAAAGTGTTTCTCTCCCGGGTGTACTCACCGGCCCAAGCAGCTCCATCAGGTAACGAAGGGAAGGGGGAGGAGTCCAGTGACGTCACGGACATCGACATCACCGGACTCCTCCCCCCTTCCCTTCGTTAGCCGACAGAGCCACTTGTGGAAGGGGGGAGGAGTCCGGTGACGTCAATGTACGCGACGTCACCGGATCTCCGACGGAAGACCCGGAAGGCGGCGGAGAGGTGAGTATGGAGCCAAAGAACTTTGATCGATCAAAAAAATTAACGATTAAATCGAGGGATTAATCGTTAATTTCCGCAGCCCTAGTTTTTTTACATGCTGGCTTGCGAGTGTGCCAGGAAAACTTTTTTGCCATTTACCTGATGTGACCCCATCTTTTATATTCTGCCCACAAAATTTGGGTAATAACAAATGTTTCATAACATAACGTTGGGAAAACGTTTTTTTTTCTTTTAAATATTCAGTACTTTTTTTGTTAGAGCAAAAAATAAAAACCCCAGTGTTGATTAAATACCACCAAAATAGCATTCTGCTCTTGTGATCAACTGAAAATATTTACCGATCAATGAGGAGTCCAAATCCATCGAGAGCTCTCTACACAGATTAGATGGAGGTTCTACGTCTTGGGGATTTGATTCAAGTGGATCAGTCTACTCTCATGCAACGTATGAGTGAATGACCATGCAGATACGTGGGTGGTCATCATTAAACCAGCCACACACATTACAGGTAGATTGTACAATCTCCTACAATGTACCCACAACTGTGAAGGTTCCGCTCAGACTGATACATCCCACCAATGTGTATGTCCCACTGCGGTGCAGCACTGTGAATGGTGGCGGAGTGCAATGCAGAGTGCCAACCATTGCACAAGTTGTGGCGCGTTGTGTTGTAAGAAAAGGGCCATGTCAGTTTTTATTCATTGTGGTGAATTGCCGGCCACAAAAACTCACCACAATGAAACATGAGTGTGAATCTGCCAGAAGAGACTTACCACTGACTCAGCCACATGTTGTTTACCCAATGCACCACAATACAGGTTACGCCGCAGTCCAGCACCTGAGGAAGCAGCGTCCATTAGATGAAGCAGCATGTGACATCACCCTAAAGGAGATTGCACAATCACATTGTAATATGTATGATCATCTCCAATTATCTTCATAGACCATCATTACTTTACTGCAAACACAACTGAAAACTGACATACATCCTCTGTGCTTTACCACACAACAGACCCATATCCTGAAGGAGAGTCATCGTCTGCACTGTGTATGGATGACACCTGCCACACACTCACCGATCTGTCACACTGCCAGGGAAGGAGCAATCATCACTCCGGGCACAGAACCGGTTATAGCACCGCTATCTCCCCCGATCACATTCTCCCGTTCCAACATCACAAGGGGGATCAGACAGGAGAGGAAAAGACGCTGCTAAATCCCGCTTTATGAAACAGAGGAGAAAATGCTGCGACATCCCACTTTACGGCACCGAGGAAAGGACGTCGCGACATCCCGCTTTACGGCACAGTTGCCCGGGTAACCTGTGTGCTGGGATATTTACTTCCTGCATTGTCACAGTTCTGCTTAGTGTGTGGAAAAAGGCGGCCAAATACACTAAATAGAGAAATACAAATATATAGCTGTGAAATGTATGGTGTACACGACTACTATACTGATATATACACGGGTTGTGTAGTGTGTACGACTCTTATACCGACATATTTGTTATGTACACAGCCTATGTGGTGTAGTGCTCACGGTTCTTATATAGATATTTACATATATGGTCTGTGTAGTGTAAACGACTCCAATATTGACATTTACCTACACAGGCTGTGTGGTGTAGTGTGCATGGCTCTTATACTAACTGACATATACACTATATTGCCACAAGTATTGGGACACCCCTCCACTAGGGTTGCCACCTGTCCAGTCCGGGTTTTCAATGTTATGTCCGGGTTTCATGGCAGCACAAACCCAGACACAAGGGGGCTGATTTACGAAGTCCAACACGCGCAGGCTGCGTGCGCGTTTTAACCCGCAAAAATGCATTTACCAAGCGAACACGCACATCATGGCGCGGTTTCACGCAGGCATGGTGCGTTTTTATGTATTTACTTACGCGCGTGTCGTGTAATATGCGCCATCGGCTGCACGCCACTATAATAAAAAATTGCAAGTGCTAGAATCATATTTCTACTAATGCCATACATGTGCAAATCATACATATGATACATATGTTATTAGGCATGGTGCGTTTTTATGTATTTACTTACGCGCGTGTCGTGTAATATGCGCCATCGGCTGCACGCCACTATAATAAAAAATTGCAAGTGCTAGAATCATATTTCTACTACTGCCATACATGTGCAAATCATACATATGATACATATGTTATTGCTATGCTTCTGTGCATACAAACATTCTACATAACACTTACTGGTAAAAGACAGTATTCTAAAATAAGGTACTTACACATCAGTGCCGTGTTCGGATGTGCTCCAGGCAACTGCGCATGTGCATGAGCAAGTTCACAAGTTTTTTGATCCTAGAAACACAACCACGCCAATCCTGCACGATTTCTTCGTAATTCTAGCAAACACACGCACATGGCGGATAAATTTGAGCGGCGCGTTTTTCATCCATTCTGTC